CCCCAATCCCCCCTCCCAAGGTGCTGGTCAACGACAACCTGGAGCTGGGCTGCAGCATCATCGAGCGCGCCGCCACGGACAAGGCGGTGCGCGACATCGACAAGAGCCTCGCCGCCGCATACGAGGCGCGCGGCAACGCGCGAGCCCGCGGCCAGCCCTTCTACGAGCGCGCTCTCTACGCGCAGTCGCAGCAGGGGCGCTTCCCTGCGGCGCTGCCCGAGAGCCTCAAGCCCAAGCCGGGCTTGCCTCAACAGCAGCGTGTGTACGAGGACTTCGCGCGCATGCCGCGTGCGCTGCCGCCGCACCCGCTCAATGCCAGCTTCAGGCCCGACGGCGCACCGCCGGCCAGCCCGCTGCAGGTGCGTGTTTGTTTCTGGCAGGGAGCCTTGAGCAATCATGGCGGGGTGTTTGAATGCCCACACCGTACAACGTCGTGCGACGTATGCATTGCTGAGCTTGCGCATGTGCTTTTCTCTGCTCAGCTTGCTGCTTTTTGGGAAAGACGCCTCTGGCTTTGTATCCTGCACCTCCATTCGCACACTCCCTGTCCAGCGGCTCCAACCCTTCTCTGCTGCCCCCTTCGCTCTCTGCATCCCTGCAACCGCGTGTCCGACAGCAACCCCAGGACGGCAGTGCAGTGCAGGTTCCCGACAAGCCTCTTCAGGAGGGTGCCGTCTCTGCTGCGGCGGGGCCCCTGCAAGGTGTGGCGCTCAGCGACGGCTATGTCAAGTGGCAGCTGGCGGCGGACGCGGCGTGCTCGCGCGACCCCAACGCCGTGCTGGACGCCAGCGGCGAGCTGTCGGCGCTGCGCGAGCTGCTGCGCGAGCTGCTGGGCGGCAGCGAGGAGGCCGCCCTGCTGGTGGGGCGCCGCCTCATCAAGCACCTGTGGGAGGTGCCTGGCAAGGCCCACGCCAGCCTGCACGTCGATTGCCTGGCGCTTGCCGCGGACGTGCTCAGCGGTGGCGCCGGCGCAGGGGGCGCGCCGGCCCCAGGATCGCCGCCCGCCGGCCCCGGTGGGCGGCGCCTGGCAGCAGAGCTGACGCAGCTGTGGGTGGCTCTGGCCAGTGAGGCAAAGTTCAACCGCGATATCGGCGAGCGGCTGCTGGCGCGCGGCCTGCTGCTGCTTCCTGAGGTGGACGCCTACCTGGCGCGCGTGCTGGTGGCGCAGCGCCCCGCAAGCGCCATCGACTTTGGCGTGCTGCTGGTGCGCGCAGTCAAGGACGGCCTCGCCGGCGCCGCAGATGTTGCCGCGACGCTCGACGTGCTGGGCAAGCTCGCTGGCAGCGTCGCCGGCGGCGAGCAGCTGCTGCAGCTTCTCAGCGCGGCGCGCGCCGCCAGCCGCGTGCGTGCCGCTGAGCGCGCGGAGCTGCCGGCCATCGGCGGCCTGCGGGACAAGGGCGGCGACCCTGCAGGCCTGCACCAGCAGGTGGCTGGCCTGTTTGAGGAGTTTGCGCGCCGCTGTGTCGTGGCGCCGGACGAGAAGATGCACGCAGCGTTTGTGCAGCAGCTGCGCGCCGCGGGGCTCCTCAACATGGACGACGCCACTGACCGCATGCTGCGCGTGCTGGTCGAGCTGGCGGTGGCGCACTGCCTCGCCAGCGAGACGCCCGGCGTGCGGCCCGACGGCGGCCCTGCCCCTGGGCCGCTGTCGTTCTTGGCGCTCGACCCGCTGGTAAAGCTTGCAGCCTGCCTGACACTCGTGCATGGCGGCGGCGAGGCCTTCCTGGGCAGCCTGCTGCGCATGGTGGTGGCGCTCGTGCGGCGTGACGCCGAGGACCGCGGGCCGGCCTTCAACGCGCGGCCCTACCTGCGGCTCCTGGCCGGCCTGGCCAGCGAGATGGGCAACGGCGCGGAGGCAGGCGAGCCAGGCGCGCTTCGCCTCGTGCGGCTAATCGGCGAGGCGCTGCTGCTGCTGGCGCCGTCGCGGGTGCCCGGGTTTGCGTTTGCCTACCTGGAGCTGCTGGCACACCGCGCCATCATGCCGCGGCTGCTGGGGGCCCCTGCGGCCGCCGCGGGCCCCCTGGCCCTGGGCGACCTGTACGAGGCGTTGCTGCTGGGACTGCTGGGCTTCCTGGAGCCGGCTCTGCGCGCCGCAGAGCTCACCGATCCCCTCAGGGCGCTGTACAAGGGCACGCTGCGGCTGCTGCTGGTGCTGCTGCACGACTTCCCCGAGTTCCTGTGCGACCACCACTTCCGTCTCTGCGACGTCATCCCGCCGCCCGCCATCCAGATGCGCAACCTCATCCTGTCGGCTTTCCCGCGCAACATGCGGTTGCCAGACCCCTTCACGCCAAACCTCAAGTTTGACAAGCTGCCAGAGATTGCGGCTCCGCCGCAGGGCGCGCCGCCGCGCGACCTGCTGCTGCCGCCCCCGCTGCGCGCACAGGTTGATGCGCTGCTGGCGCGCCGCGCGCAGCCAGGCGCTCTGCAGGCCCTCGTCGCGCGGCTCGTGCTGCCGGCGCAGGGCTCGCAGCAGAAGCAGGGCCAGGCACAGCAGCAGCAGCAGCAGCAGCAGCAGCAGCCTGGCGGCCAGGGCCAGTCGCCAGTGGCAGGGCAGGCGGCGTCAGCGGCACTGGGATTGGGCATTGTCGGCGCTTCTGTGGCGCCGCCTGCTTTGGGCGGCGCCGGCGGTGCTGTGCGGTATGCTGGCAGCCTGCTCCACGCGCTGGTGCTGTACGTGGGCGGCTGTCATGCTCCGGGCTCTGGCGTGGAGCGCGACGACCCCGGGCTGTCGCTGCTGGCAGGCCTGGCAGGGGAGCTTGATGCCGAGGGGCGCTACCTGCTGCTCAACGCCATCGCCAACCAGCTGCGCTACCCCAACAGCCACACCTACTACTTCTCATGCGTGCTGCTGACCCTGTTTGCCGACGCGCCCACGGGCCCGGCAGGCGAGGCGCTGCAGGCGCAGATCACGCGCGTGCTGCTGGAGCGGCTGATTGTCAACCGCCCCCACCCCTGGGGCCTGCTCATCACGTTCATCGAGCTCATCAAGAACGAGCGCTTCAACTTCTGGAACCACCCCTTCACCAAGGCGGCCCCAGAGCTGGAGAAGCTGTTTGAGAGTGTCGCCCGCTCCTGCATGGCGGCGCCACCCGCCATCAAGCCGCAGGATGTCGCCGCGGCCGCGGCGGGAGGCACGCCTCAGGCGGCAGGGGTGGTGGGGTGACGCGGATGGGGTGGCACGGGCCATGAGGCGGGTGGGGTGGAATGCTGCCGGGGCTGAGGCGGGCGAGGCATAGGTCTGCGCACGCACTTGAGCAGGCTGAAACGGCTGTGGCGGTGCACCTTGGGGTGAGCAGCATCGCCGCCAAGCAGCACCATGCAGGCAGGCGGTTTGCCATGTGTGCCTTGTGACTCGCCGCATCGCCGTTGTGCGTCTCTCTGCCTTTGTGCGTCTGCTTTCTTACACCAGCCGCTTTCTATATTGTTTTGCGTGTACACACATCATTTTCCCCCTGTCCTTGGTCCACGTGCACGTTTTTGTCACGCGTGCAATGCAGCTGGCCCATCGGCCTGGGCCTCTGTGTTGCCGTACTGTGCTTTGCTTTCTTCCTACCACTTAGGGCGGGCAGCCAGCTGCGTTGCTGCGACCTGCTCGATGCAGCTTGCCACTGCCAGCAGGCCGTTATGCGCGACTGTGGCCGCCTCACATTGGTGACTGGCAGCATTAGTAACGCACGTCATAATGCATATATGTCATTACCCCCCCTTAATTGACAGGTAGACAGTTGTGTGAAGGTGCAGTTATGACAAACCAGGGGCGCATGGACTCGCCTGGCCTCACGCATCAGTCAACACGGCACGTCTGTCAACTTGCGGGTATAGAGCACCTGATCCAGGCAGAAACTGAAATTGCTGGCTGTACATGTGTTGCGCGCCCGTCTCCGCGCAAGCGGCCCTTGCACAAGGGACGCGTGTGGCGGCGCGCCCGCCAGTGACGAGGAACACATTCACATTGAGCGGCACCATACACTTGGGTCATTCACAAGGGTTGCGGGGGAGGACGCTTCTTTGTCACCGCACGCTGCTTCGAGCTGTCGAGCGAATAATTTCTTGCTTTGCGCGCTCTAGGCGATCTTGGGCTAAGCTAAAAATGCCCGCCGAGGACGTGGACATGGACGATTCTATGGATCCCGTCATTGAGGAGGTCCGCGAAGAAGGGCAGCCCATGGGTGAGCGGGGGCAGCACGGGGTGATCGAAGTGTTGAGTGTCCTGGTGCAATCCTGATCCCTCTGCGGGCCCCGTGCGCCTGCAGCGATTGAGGTGTCCGAAGCGGTTCACGAAAAGGACAAGGCTGAGGAGGACGCGGAGATGTCGGGGTCCTACACAGTGAGACGAGAGGGTTGATCTGGGGGAGTGTGGAATGCCGAGCCAGCGGCGCGTGCGGTCATGAGCAGTGCTATACACGCGGAGTAGCCACTCGGGCGCGCCTGAATGGCACGGCAGGGCAGTCTGGCCAGTGTCAAGCGCCGCCGCGTGAATGCACGTCGCCTCGCTGCGCTTTGCTTCCATGCGTGCGTTCGTGCAGTGGGTGCTGGAGGGCTGGCCGCGGCCCACCAAGACAAAGATTCACTCGGAAAAGTTTGAGATAGGGACATACATATGGTGCGTCAGAGTTGCATGGGCAGTCGAATCGTGGACACTGGCGCATGCCTGGCGGTTGTTGGTTGGCCGGGCACCTTGTGTGGGTCATCACGTGGGCCTGGAGGCGGTTGGCCACCAGGCCCCACAGCTGCAAGCTGTGCTTTCATGCACGGTCAAGTGGTCTTGCGGATGCGCTGCTGATGGCCCTGGGGCTACTGCTCGCAGGCGTCTGCTGGTTATCCCTGGCAACGACAACCAGGGCGAGTTCCTCAGTGTGTTCCTCGACTCCCCAGAGGCGCCCTACACGCCTGCACACTTGTCACCACGCGCAAAGTTCACGCTGGCGCTGGAGAGCACGCTGGGGCGGGAGCATGACCACAAAAAGGGTGCGAGGAGATCTGGTGGTGTGAGTTTGTGGGCAGGAGGCTGCATTTTGCAGAGAGCAATTGGCGATTATGCGCTCAGCGTTGTGCAGCCCCCAATGGCCTTGATTTGGCTCATTTGGAAGCAGATTTGAAGCATGCAGTGTCAGTGGGGAGAGCTCAGACGTCAACCCTCAGTTGGGTTCGTCAGCCCGCTGCCAAGTTGGCTCGAGTGCGGTTGCAGGCCCGCAGCTCTGGGTCCATCTGCATGCGTTGAAAAACCTCCCCAAGTGTACCATATCCAGTTGTGTGTGTTTATGAGCAAACACGGCAGCCTCTCAACACGTGTTCAGGAGAGGACCATCCGCCAGAAGTACTGCATCAGCCTGACACCGTCCCACTCCCCTTACTTCCCCTCCCCTGTGGCCCCCGCAGACTCTGAGCACCTGTTCACGAGTCAGCAGATGGACTGGGGGTTCAACCAGTTTGTGCCGCTGGTGGACGTGGCGGACCCTGCCAAGGGGCTGATCCATGAGGGCGGGGTGTTGAGGATTCGCGTGGAGGTGCAGGTGCGGCGTGACGAGCGGCTGAGCTGGGACAGCCGCAAGGAGACGGGCTACGTGGGCCTCAAGAACCAGGGCGCCACCTGCTACATGAATAGTCTGCTGCAGTGCCTCTACTACCTGCCCTTTTTCAGAAAGGTGGGTTCGGGGGAAAGGGCGGGCGCGCTTGGAGGAGAGGGCACGGGTTGGCAGACCCCGGCGGGCTACGCTAGGGGCCAGTAGGCAGGAGTGCAGGAGCGTGCAGGGTTATAAAAGGCTGAGGCAAACACAGGGCACTTGCCAACTGCACAGGAATGTTGCAGCACCACCCTCAAGCGCAATATGCCTGGCTGTTTGGCCAGCTGAGGGCATGCTGCTGGGCCGCATCGTGCAGTTGCCTGAGGCCACCCGCCCGCCGTGCCGTCTCCACTGCCCTCCCCTCTCCAGGCGGTGTACCACATGCCCACCAGCGAGAGCGACGACCCCTCCAAGAGCATGCCCCTGGCCCTCCAGAGTGTGTTTTACAAGCTGCAGTACAGCCGCACCCCGCCCTCCACCAAGGACCTCACAAAGTCCTTCGGCTGGAACACCTACGACGCCTTCTTCCAGCACGACGTGCAGGAGCTCAACCGTGTGCTGTGCGAGAAGCTGGACGACAAGATGAAGGTGCGCGCGCTGCTACATGTGTGCGGGGGGGGGGGGAGAGGGGGTGCCAGGAGATGCAGCAGCGTAGGAGATGGCGTGCACGAGGGGCTCAAGCCCATATCGCGGCTGGTGCGAACCGTCAATTGCCGCTGGGGGGTGTGGCTGCTTGCGCAGGGTGTGCTCTGGGGATCTGGTGATGTCATCATGTAGGTCCACGGGCCCCGCGTGGTCCCCTGCGCATACGTGCCGCTCTCGACTCTTACCGGCAGCGCCGCCCCGTGCGCCTGCGCCCTGCCCCCACACCCAGGGCACGGCTGTTGAGAAGTCGATCAACTACCTGTTCGAGGGCCACACTGAGTCGTACGTGGAGTGCACCAACGTCGATGTGCGCTCCACCAAGCGCGAGAGCTTCATGGACATACAGCTGGTCGTCAGGGTGAGTGGCGGTTGGGGCTTTGTCAGGTTCACGCGTGATGGGGGTGCCTGGGTCCAAGGGCCCCCTGTTGAACCGCGGGTACCGTAGTTGAGCCTGGGGATGGGCAGCAGCTGCAGCAGCTGTAGCAGCTGCAGCATCATGAAGCTCACCCCTTCCTCTCACCGCGCATGTGCCAACCCAGGGTTGCCGCGACGTGTACGACTCGTTCGACAAGTACTGCGAGGTGGAGCTGCTGCAGGGTGACAACCGCTACCGCACCGACAGCCACGGGCTGCAGGACGCCTGCAAGGGCCTCAAGTTTGAGGCGCTGCCGCCCGTGCTGCAGCTGCACCTGCGGCGTTTTGACTACGACTACCAGCGCGACACCATGCTCAAGGTCGGGGAGGGATGAGAGGGGCCGGGGTTGCTCTGGGCTTTTCGAGGGATTCTGCTGTCCAGCAGAGGCCTCTTTGGGCCCTTACCTGGGGTTACATGGATGCAGGCCAGCTGTCATAGGTTTGATGGCTGGCTTTTGGTTCAACGTAGGGACCTCACCCTGCTCAGCAGGAGCAGAGCAGGGGCGCAGCACCATTGCTGCATCTTGCAAGGCCAACGCGCCTCACAGCACGCCTGTTGAAGCAATAATTCGCAATGCATTGCAGTGATGCCCCTCATCTATGCACCAGCCACAACACTGTTGCTCTAATCTTGCTCTTCAGGAATGCAACTGCGCATTGAAACCCTTCCAGCACCCCGTTTCCCCCCCTTCCCACCCATGTGGCTCAACCACCTCAACCCTTTCCCTCCCCTCCGCTCTCCCCTCCCCTCCCCTCCCCCCCCCCCC